ATATGTGGCTTCTTTTACTGGAAGATCTAATTTTCATTCATTTAACAAACATTTATTAAGCATATATTATACTCCTGGCACTGTTCTAGATGCTGGATTCAGGAGTGAACAAAACAGATAAAAATCTTAGCCTTATTGAACTTTCCATGAGAAATCATCAAAAACAGATGAACATAATGGGATAAAGGATTATTTGATTTAGAACCATGCAAACAAAAACAGAGAAATAAATCAATTGCCTTGATCAACCTGACATGAGTAATCCCCATATCCAGTCCTTTTCTGGCTCCCTGTCAGAGGCCCACCTCCATTGTCCACAGGTATGGCATGTTACTAAAAGCAGAATGTAAACTGATCCAAGTGGTGCCGGAATGGGAAGTATATCAGGCCGGTGGGAAGCATTGTCATTGGAATATAAGCCTGCGGCTGCTAGATCATGACCAATAACTTTAGATTTTTATGTAACTCTCTTGATGCTTTTGTTCAGACAGCTGATTTTGAAACCTCAATTGTATCACTGAGTCAAAAATAACAATTCTTCAGGCTAAAGACCAGGAGTTTGCACCCTTGGTCTTAGGTTTGAGTTCAGCAAATCCAGAAAGTCTTCAAGGATAGGGGAGTCCAATTTGTAATAAGTCCAGGGCAGTAAGGAAACTCCTAAACTAGCTAAATCATCCTTGACCTGTTGGGTCCCAAATAAATTTTTTTTATTTTTATTTATTTGAGATGGAGTCTTACTCTGTCACCCAGGCTGGAGTGCAGTGGCAAGATCTCGGCTCACTGCAGCCTCTGCCTCCCAGGTTCAAGTGATTCTCCTGCCTCAGTCTCCTGAGTAGCTGGGATTACAGGCGTGAGCCTCTGCACGTGGCCCTGAATAGATTTAGATCATGATTTTGGGTGACCTGATATCTTATGTTCTGATTTCAATACATATTCATTTGCTTATTCATTCATCAAACATTAGCTTCTCTGGGTGAAACACTACTCAGCTTAAAATAAGCTCCCATCTGACAAGCCTTTGAGAGTTATTCAGGCTACTGGGACTTTGGTGGCCTTCAAACTATAAAGTACAGTTCTTCCCTTGATATTGCTAACCCTGGATAAGCACAAAATAGAAATATTTGATCTGAATCAGAGGATTACCTGGGTACATTTTCTGAACTTAGTAAAGGAAAGATGTCGCTGAAGTACTGTGCATTTAGATTCTAGAATATCTGTTATATGAATCTGTAATGTGGATATTTTTCTTTTGGAAGATGTTGTGCTTCATGCCTAGTTTTTCGTCTTCACCATGTTAGCCCCGTTCTTTCAACTGGACAGTTCCACTTAAGAATCTCAGTTCTTCTGCTGTTATAAGAATGGTCCTCTAGGTGGCGCCATTTGAAGCTCTCAGTGTCTCCTTGGGTCGGCTTCTCTTTCTTCCTCATGAGCAAGTCCACTTTATGCTTTGGCCAGACAGCTCTTTCCCAGCTCTTTCCCAGCATCCCAGGATCTGCAATGCTCTTTAGGCTGATTTCTAAAGTCTTCTGGGTGACCAGTGTGTGCCTCCCCACACACTGGGGATAATTTGAGTAGTAGCTTGGGTAACTGCTTCTCCTGAACTCCACAAGCAATCCATTTTCTACACTGTATGCTAGCAACGAATGCTTCTTATTTTGTATTGTTTATTCTTTGATGCACATGGCCCGTCTCACCAATAGATTGTAAAGCCTTTAAGGGCTTTGTATGTCTCAGGCATCTGGCACAATACACTGTCAGGGATAGGCAGTCTACAAGTGTGTGTTTGTTGATGATGTTAGGTGGTACCATTCTTTTGTTTATTCATTATTTACTTGGTAGCTGTTCTAGGCTAGACCCTCTTTCTGGTGCCATGAGAAGTTATGAAAAACAAGGTCCCTGCTCTCAGGCATCTCCTAATTCTGAGGGGGAGGAGGGCAGAGAAAAAGAGAACACTAAAGAACGACAGTGGTATGGTGCATATGAAGCAGCCATGCTAGTGACTGTGAACAAGAGAGGTACTATATGTTGCCTGTGTCGGATGACCTCTATGGGCCTTTCCTTCCCCATGAGATCCTTTTAGAAGAGCACCACCTTTTCATTATTTGACTGTAGAACCAATCCTTAAGACTGATTTATGCCTTTTACTGTTTTTCTTTCCCAGTCCCCAAAGGACAGGGTGTAAGATTGTAGGGTTAGCTATCCATCTCAGGATACCATAGAAAAGGTGACAGTCTTCCTGTTTTTCTCTGAGGTTCAGAGTTCCTGAGGTACTGCAATTTGCTTTTCAGCTCATTAGTAATTGTCCTTGAATTCTCAAAAGGGTTTATCATCTTACTGTCTGTGTGGGGTGATTTGAAATTGCTGATTTACTTTAAGGTGATTGAAAACCTTTTCATTCTTTAACATGCATCTCAATGCCCCTTTTCCTGCCATATCTTTTCCTGTTCTTCCCTTCCTTTTTATACCTTTATATTGTTACTTCCACCCCAACTTTTATATACATTGATTTTAGTCTTCTATTATAGCTGTTTAGAACCTCAATATGTCATAAGATTATAAGCCTACTGAGGGTAAGGACTGTATTTTATTCATTTTAGTATCTCTCTCATCCTGCACCTTCACCTGTTACCTCCACATAGTAGGTAATGAATAATGTTTGTTGACTGAATGAACTGGGATTTTGTAACATGATCCCTGCGTAGTTACATGTTTGATTATGTGCTTGCAGAACATGGTCAACTGTCAGTAGTTTCTGCATGGGTTCTATTTGTTTGACTTAGTCTCTAGGAATATTTGCTTGGCAAATTCTCTCCAGATAATATGAAAAGGTTTTTGGATAGATCTGGGCTCAGACTTGGAATTTCTTTTCCTGTTTCCTTCTTGACACCCATATATGGCTTTATCACTGTAGAGTCTTGGTTTTTCTTACTTCCTGATTTCTCCCCAATACTCGAAACATTCTCCTATTGACTTGTATTCATTCAAGTAGCTAAGTGCCAGGGAGTGTTCCTGATGTTGGCAGGATAAATGGGGCAAAAAACAGACTCTGACTGTAAAGCCCACTGAAAACAGGTGAATTCATCAAATAATAGGTCAATTCAGTCAAAACATATTACCTGATAGCCGGATGGCCCATTTTAAAAGACATTTCAAAAGTCTCAGAGGATCCTTGGGTAGGAAACCAGAGACTTGAAGCTTCCTGTCATTTGGTTTTCTAGTGTTTTATGTCTCTCAAAGCTCACATACATACATATATGAGGAGGATGCAATTTTTTCTTCTGAAGCCACTTTCTATTTTTGCACACTGAATTTCAATCTTTAATTTCTTTAGTCACTTAATTTTAAATTTTAATTTCATAGCAAGTCTAGTGGCTTTTTGTAGGCATTCACATAAAAGGGTCAAGGTTTGCCCTCTCTGCTCTCCTGGCCAAGGTGAAATTTAATTATTTTCTAGGTTTTAAACAGAGAACCTAAAATATACATTTTATATCTCGACTTGCTTGATTTAAATCCTGGCTTAGATTGTGTGTGCGTGTGTGTGTAAGGGTGGAGTAATGGCAAATGAAGGAAAGAAGGACGTTAACACACCTGTTGTCTAAGAAGCCTATGTGAATTCTTGATCTGTAGCAAAAGCAAAGTCATGAACTGTACTTTACACTCCGGATCAGCAGGTTGCACTAGGGACACTGCAGAGAACACATGAAACGTGAAAAGGTGGTTTTCTTCATAAAAGCCCATTTTCTTTGAAGACCTCAGGTTCCTTTAAGGCAGGAAGTAACATGAGTTTCACCTCCTGTAGCTATTAAACCAAATAAAACCTGATTGAGCAAGATTATTTTCGTGTGCTATTTATCAGTAGACGATCACAATGAAATATGCATACGACAGTTAACTGCCTCAAATATGGCAAACCAAAATAAAAAAAATAGAATGCCATTTTGCTGAGGTCATCTTAGTTTCTATTCTATTTCATTCTTTCCATTTATTCCACATTATTTTACATTTTCCCGGAAGTCATCCATAATTCAGTGTAGAAGGGTAAATTCGATTACTTGGCAGCTAAACATGGTGTGCCCTGTCAGAAACAAGAAGACTTGTAAAACAAAATCAAAAACAACTTCCCAAAACGCCCCAATACAACAAAAAACCAACAACCGAAAAAACAAAGGCATGGAAAGCTGGAACCTATCTGGGGGCTTTTGGAAACTTGGGCAGCTTCCTTTCTCTGCTCAGGATTTAGATTTCTATCTCCCGTTACTTTGTGAACTGCTTCTCCTGTGAATTTCCCCCCCCCCGCTACGCCTCCGGACACCGGTGCCAGTTCCTTCCCTTCCTCAGTCGCCTCCCCACAGTAGAGAGGATCTTATTTTATAAGACTGCACCGGGGTCAGAGGTGATGTGCGAGAGTTTCTAACCGAATGGCGTTTTAGAAATAGGAACGGGAAACATAGAAGCGGCTGAGGAGCGTCCCCGCGGAGCAGACGGGCAGGGCCCTGGAGCGACGGACGCCAGCGCCGGCGCCGCGGGGAGCGCGTGCGGGACTCCGCGGGGCCGCCTACCGCGACTTCAGCAGGGGCCGCGGCCGCGCTCCCGGGCCGGTGGGCTGAGGCAGGCAGAGGCCGCCATATTCCCGCCTTACCACGCCCGGCCGGCCGGCAGCCGGAGGTAAGCGGCGGCTCTGACAAGCAGCGGCGGCCGCTGCCTCCGGCCGCGCGGCGGCGACCCGGCCCGGCCCCGGCTGGGGGCAGCCGTGACCGCTGCGCTCGCGGCCTCTGCCCAGGGTGCGAAAGCAGGAGGCACCAGCAGAGCCCGAGGGGGCCGGCCCAACCGGGTAGCCGCGCGGGCGAGGCGAGAGCCGCACTGGGAGGCGCGCCGCGGCGGCCGCGAGCCCAGGAAAGCGTTCCGGGAGGGGCCGGGCGGCACCGCCTCCCGGCTCCCCTCCTCCCGCGCCTGTCCCCTCCGCCTCCTCCCCCTCCTCCTTTCGCCGCCGCCTCTTCCCTCCCGGATCTGTGCTCCAGTTCAGAGAAAGAAGAAAATGTGTGTGTGTGGCGAGGGGGAGGGCGCGCACTGAGCAGCCGCTCCGCGCCTGGCAATCGGGGCAGGGGGCGGGCGTCTGGCGAAGGCGGAGGCGGAGGCGGGGGCGGAGGAGCGCGCGGCTGCCGGGCGGGCCGGGAACCGGGTCTGCGCGCGAGCCGGGCGGTGGGCGCGGACAGGGCCGAGGGCGCCCGGGAGCCGTGTCAGGCGGCGGCGAGGAGCGGGCGCGCCGGGCGCGGGAAGCCGTCGGCGGCCGCTCGCTGCGGGGACACCCCGGTGGATGAGCTCTCGCCGCCAGGCGCACGGCGTAGGGGAGCCTCGCAGGCGGCGGCGGCGGCGGCGCGGGGGGCGAGGCGGGACGCCCATTCTCGGGGAAGGAGGCGCGGGCGTCTGAGCGAGGCCGGGCGCGGCGGCCTTCCCTCACTCGCCCCCCGAGCCAGCGCCCGCCTCCCGCGCCCGCCTCGCTTCTCCAGTCGGCCCAGGCAGTTCGCTCCCGCCGCGCCCCCGGCCCACCTGGTGGCCCCGGCCCTGGCCGCGGCAGTCGCGGCGGTTCCGGGAGCTCGTACCGGACGCGCGCCCGGGCGGCGGGGACTCGGCGGCCACCGCCGCCTCGGGGGAGCGAGGGCGGGAGGGTGTGTGTGCGCGCTGTGAGCAGGGGGTGCCGGTGGGGCTGCAGCGGAGGCACTTTGGAAGAATGACTCTGGAGTCCATCATGGCGTGCTGCCTGAGTGAGGAGGCCAAGGAAGCCCGGAGGATCAACGATGAGATCGAGCGGCAGCTCCGCAGGGACAAACGGGACGCCCGCCGGGAGCTCAAGCTGCTGCTGCTCGGTGAGTACCGCCCGGGGCCGACCGCCGCGGGTCCTCCCGCCGGGCCTCTGCGAACCCCCGCCCACCACCCCCGGCCCCGCGGGGCAGCTGCCCTCGGCGTCCCCCGCCCCCCGGCGCCCGGGACTTGCCCCTACCCTCCCGGGCGCGCCCCCGGCCACTGCCTTCACCCGCGCGGGTGCGCGGGCGCGTACACACACGCACGCAGCAGAGGGGTCGGGCTGCCCTGCCCGGTGCCTCGGCTTGTTCCTTTTCGTATCCCTGAGGGCTGTGCCTTATCTGCTGTGCATCTGCTAAATGGCAGATCACTCTGGCCAGAGGCGCAGGGGTGGAAAGGTGGGCAGAGGGATTGAATTTCTAGTGCCGTGACCGCGGCTTCCCGTGGGTTGGTGGCGTGGGGAGCCGTGTGTGTGGCCCAGCGGGTGGCGAGCCGAGCCCGGGACACATTGGGGGATGGCCTGCGCCGGGGTGGCTGGTGTGCATCCAAGATCAGTGTCCTCTGGGGTCAGGAGGGAATGGGGGAACGGCGGGCAGACTCGCAACTGGATTCCCAGAGCAGTGATGACGAGGAAGCCAAGTGGTTGGCCCTCCAAAGAAAGGGCCTGTGTATTGGGGGCGGGGCGGGGCGGGAGGGCCAGCCCAAATGTGTCACACAAGAGCTGTTCTCTAGCCACCAAACCTTCGAAAGGAGGGAGCCTAGAAGAGTTTCTTGGCCAGTGGATGGTGACAGGCGTGTTTCTCGTCTGCACCATTCCTTCTAGATAAAGATGAGGGATAGGGGAGCGTTGTACTGTGTGGTTGTTGACAGCGACCGGTATCTTTTGTTTAATGAGGCAACCCAGATGTAGGCCTGAATTCACAATAGTTACTGCTGAAAACCAATGTAGCCTCTCAATTACTCCCATGGCAACAAATAGAAGCCTTTTGTTTAAAACAGATAGCAGTTTAATATCTTTGGAATCTAGGCTAGAAGGAAAACGGTAAGCATACAGGAAAAATTTCCCTCTAGTCTTGAAAAAAAAAATCATTCTGCTTTAACACGAAGTTAGCAAGAAAATGCCATTTCTCAAATTGGAATTTATTGATTATTATCTCTGAGAGGATGTTCAGAATCAAGTGATCGAGGTTCACATACAAACCAGAGCGACAGAACCCTGAGCTATTGGGATAGGAAGAGCAAAGAGCTTTGCAGTAACAGACTTGAAAAATGACTGCCCTTGAGTTCTGGATATTTGCATGTATAATTGTATAATAAATATGTTTCTCAAACATTTCTGTAAGAAAAGAATATTGTGCTGTCAGTTGATGTTTGAGAAGCATGCATTTTCTTTCTTATCTTGAGCATTCCATTTGCTGGCTCAAGGAACCAATTGCCTTTGGAAATGAACTGCTTATGTACTGGACCATTTACAAGCAAGAACAAAATACACTGATCACACCAATAGTTACTGATGGTTAATTTACATGACATGCTTTCTTTATGTCTTCATTTTGAAACTCTAGATAAATGTGCACATGTTTACAAAAAACAGAAGGCAAAGCACTGTATGAAAGAGGTGGGCTTAGGGGAAGAGGAATACTGACGCTGGAAAGTAAAGATTTTTTTTTTTTTAATTCTCATTTTTGAGATACTTCTAATGACTGAAAACGGTCAGTTGAATGTTTTCTGAGTTCTCAAGATTGAGAAGAAAAGAGCGAAAAAGAGAAATACATAGAGTGTTTAAGTGCATGGTTAAGGTGAAAAGCACGGATTTTAGAGAGACTTATTTTAAGAATTTTTTTTTTCTTCTGTTGCCCTGTTGACAGTCTTTGATTCTGTTTAACTGTGAACTGGGCAGTTGAGGTCTCTCCAGCCAACCCAGTTTGCCTGAAAAGTGACAGCTCTGGGTTTCCCAGCAGTTAAGAGTTAAAGCCCAGGGGGGTTGTCAAGGGCCTAGGTTTGAATGTCTAAGGGAAATACACTTATATGGATGTTCAGTTACATACTGTGTATTTAAATAACACTGTGCTTTTAAAAATGAACACGGAGATAATTTTCTGAGGAAAAAAATGTAAACCAATTTTACTGCTAAAGTGGTGGTAGTGTGGAGAACTTTTTTTCTTATTAGCTGAATGTAATGCAAGAATTGCTGCTGCTTCGTGTTCCTGGTATGTTGCTTTTGCAACATAAATACTACAATACTTAGACTATTTGTATAGTAATATACACTAAATGTGGATTTGTGCGTGCGTGTATGTGTATGAGTGTGATTTTAGGAGTTTTGAATCCAGGGTGGTTGATTTCGATAAGGGGGAAGATATTAGGGAGGGATTTCATTTGAGGAATTCCTGATTTGCTGCTTTGATGAGTAGACTTAATGACCTGGTTCCTTCCATCATTTAAACAAAACCTATCCAGAGGAGGTTATAGGAAGCATCCATTCATAGTTTAAAGATCTAATATTTTTAACCAGTTTATGGAGGAATGACTGTGTATTGAAATGAAATTAAATCTAAAATTGTTTCCAAAGTAAATTTTACTTGAAGGTGTGACACCATTTTAATGGAAGAAAATTTTTTGACAGGGATAAAAGTGGGTGCCCTTGCATTTGCTCATATAATTATTTACTTAGGTATATTAATAATACGGAGACATTCAAAAAGGCAGGTAGTGACCTGAGTAGATGAAAGTATGGCAGTAAAATTTGGCCTATTTTGATTTATATCCGGCAACTATGCCAGTCTTCTGAATTTTCTCCATATGCTTATATATTTTTATTTTAACTTTAAAAATGCGAACCCTGAAATCTGCCACTATAAGAATATTATATTGAATTTTGTATTATTTTCTTGTTGTCTTTTAACTTTTTCTTTGAATTCATTTATATTAGTGCTTATTTTGATACTCAAAACTTAATATTCTACATAGACATACAAGAGCATACTTCATTTTAACTTGATGTTTTTATATATTTTTTAGGTGTTAAGTACATTATATTTCCTTCAATTGATTAATATTCATGAATATTCACTAAATATTTCTGTTGGTGGTACATAGATACCGTCATTTAATATAATTTTCTGTAAGTCTGTGTAATACAAGTGGCCCTGAATACCTGCTTCAAGTTACATACTGTGATCCTGAAATTTTTTGCAGTTTCTAGAAGATACATTTTTTTCCTATTAACCTGTCCTTAGTTTACATGTTTTTGAAGTCTTTTACTCTTTAGATCTTAATTATCAAAAAGGAAGATTTAGCAGACCCCTTTAATTGATTGAATTCTCTCTATTGAAACAGGCAAAGTGTAGGCTAGTCTTAAATAGAAGAATGTATGGTCTGAATTTTATATATGAGCATAGATTTTCTTTCTGTTGTACACTGCAAACATATGAGAATAGGGATTGTGTCTGTTTTGGTAACTATTAAATCCCAGCTTCAAGCACAATATCTAACTCATAGAATTCTCTCAATAAATATTGGTTGCGTAAATGAATTTGTTTATGACCCCCCCTGCTGGAAATTAAACCAGACAATAATGAATACATTTATAGAAATATAGAGATATGTAATGTTTTTATCTGTGGCAGGTATAATCAGGATCTTAAAAAAATTGTGTGTAATTCTTTGAGCCAATTTATTATAAGTGCATTCCAGGGTAGGAAGTATTAATGTAAGATGCATCACCCATTGAACCAGTGTATTACAGTTCTGTACTGGATGCATTTGAGAATGGTAACAGACATGCTTAAAGTATGAAAGTTTAAAGAAAAGAAAAACCATTCTATATTTTTGTTACTTTTTATTGTGTAGAGGCTAATTTAACACTCTCATCTTTTTACCATACATTTTTCTCCATGGTACAGGGCTCAGTGAATTTTTAATATTTTGTAGAGCATAGGTGATGATGATGACTAAACGGGTGTGTTTGATCGACCTGTACAATAACATGAGGAAAACCACCATAATTAAATACAGAATTTCAGGAGTTGCAGTTAGAATGTTTTTAATATGAGGGATATGCATTTGTATTGAAAGCTGTACTGTTGTAGACCAAGAAGGGGCATGGAAGGCTGGAAATGCTATGGCCAATTTAAACTGTAAGGGGAGTTAATTTCTGCACATCTGGAAAAGAGCATGCTTCCCACTACCCCTCAGTAGAGTTCACTGGAGTGGGTATGTTGATGGAGGAAGAGTGGGTATGTTGATTGCCTGAACCTAGAGGTCAGTGCTGTCTAGGATGGTGACTCAGAACCATTGAATGAAAGCATCCGTCTAAGTAGCCTCAATAACAGCAGCTCCCTAGAAATAGCAAAATATGGTGTTTATGAGACTGCTTTAAGGACCAACAGGGTTTTATTTTTTGCTACTCTTAGCTTCCAAGTGTTGACTATGTTTCTGAATGTCAGGATTTATTTGGATGCAGTTATCTTTTTGTTGTTGTTGTTGTTGTTGTTGAAACAAAGTACTTACAGTTTATATCAGAAGAGCAAAGTGGGAACATCCCTCCCGAAAATCAAAACTGTGGCTCTGACTATTTAATAAAGCCTTCGGAGTAAGATTTTTGCATTGAACTATGTAGATTCCTTGTCTGGATTTCCATATAACTGTCACATCTTGTACCTACATGTCATTTGTCATTTCTTCATATGGCAAATCTGGCACAAATTAAAACCCCGCTGAACAGTGAAAATATTGCAGGTTTATCTATTCACATATTTTAAAGTAAATTTAGAAAGGAGAACCAGAAGAATAATTTAGTAGCCATTTTGTTTATTACAAATAAATTTGATATAATCTTTTTCATTAAAAAAGAAAACCAACTCAGCTCTACTTTAGAAGAAATGGCTTATGTCCAGTTTTCAGAAGTGCCTATTAAATATAGTTATGATTTTTATTACAGATGAATTTTTAAGGACTTGAAACAGCCTTTGCAGTTGTGAGGCTGAGTGCTATGCTAAACTTAGCAGAAAAAAGGAACAGATTTTTCTTTATTATCTAGGCAAACTTACACTTGAAAAGAAAT